AGAGCCACTCTAATTAAAGTGCCCACAGTGTCTTGTGTATCAGCATCCCTGTGCTTCTAAATGGCAGCAGGAGCGCTTTAATTAAACATTGTAGAATGTGACAGCTGTGGCAGGCTCAAAGCCTATTTAAAAACAGTAACCTGGAGCCATCAGATTGACGGTGTGGCCCAATAAAGGGTCCAGGAGCCTAGGAAGAGACTGAGACTCAGACCAGAGGGTCTACAAGCCCCAGAAAAGACTGAGCTGGGTCCACAAGCCCAAAGCAGGCTAAGCTGGACTAGAAGGTCCAAAAGCCTAGAGGACAGGCCACATGCAGGACCAGGGGATCCAAGGACACAAGGGGGCTGAGTGTACAAATAGTCAACATCAGAAAGAAACAACATCTGCAAGGCTTGGAGCATGGTATAGGGAAGGAAAAGGAGCCACGCAATTTGCCCTTAAGGTTACAGGTGCCCTACAGGGGCCTAGTCAGGCTGAGAGAGACCCCATCAGACCTGAGAGCTGAACTGAGGCTAGTGGGGGGCTCATAAGAGACCCAGTGGGAAATTATTACGATTAGGGCTCACACTCTGCGGCCTGTTGGCAGCCTCAGTTAACCTTTATCAACCTTTAATATTAAGAACAAGGAGTGACAGGAGAGCCATTTAGGGACAGTGACAGAGTCCAAGCCAGGCAGGAGCTGCAAAGCCAACTGGGGGCATCAGAGCCACCGCTGTGGCCACAAGCCTATCACACATACATTCAAAAAGGCTAGCAAGTATTTCAAAGAAGGTTCTTAGAGCAACACCTACCAAACTACATGTCAGGTAGGGCTCTGCAAAATTTCAATGGGTGTTCTGTTTCAAAACTGTTTCAGCATGTTTTGAGCTCAAAACACTGAAACCAAAACAAAACGAAAAGCTTCAAAACAGCTTTAAAAAAAAAATGAAGGCACTTGAAACATTTCAAAAGTTTTGAAATGTTTTGAGCTTCAAAGCCGGGCTTGCTTGCAGCTAAACAGAAACTAAGGAGAGGAAGGGGGAAGAGGAGGGATGGACTGCTCTGATATTGACATCTAGCTCCCGGTTTGATTCCCCAGCTCTCTGATCATCTCCCCAGCTCTTCCCAGGGGCCGCAGGCCCCTGATCTGTGTGCAGGGTTTCAGCCAGCTGCTGCTGCCGGCTAGGGCCAGAGCCAGCACCCAAGTCTGCCAAGCACTCTGCAGCAAGTGATATGAGTTTTGCTTTGAACAGTTTGAGGTGCAGTTTCCAAGAAACACCTGCACCTATCTCCTTGAACCTTGACAGGTTTCATGCCCTCAGAAGGGGCTACCAACCCTTCAATTTTCATCTGAATCAGGCATGAAATGACAAAGTTATAGGCATTTTTGTAATTTTTGAGATTCCCTATTATAGCCTATGGGCAAAACAGCAAAACGCATCAAAACAGCGTTGATGAAACAAAGCAGGACAGTGCTTTGAAACAGCAAAATGAAACACTGTCCCTTCAAAAGAGCAAAACGGAAGTCGAAATGACATGGTGTGGTTTGCACTGCCTGGCAGGTGCTATAAAATCAAAATGGAAAAAAGGGTGGAGGGGGGCAGGGATAAAATATTACATAGCACCTACACAACTAATGTCATTATTTTTTTTCTTCTGATTTCTTCCAGGGTAAGTTTGCACTGATATTTGAATAACTTATACTAGTATAGGGCTGTACAACATACATCTGCTCCTTGAGTGCATTAGTATAATTACACACTAACATTCATGAAAACATGTTATGTACCCAGGCCCCAAATCTTGCTTTTTTTCCCCCACTATTGTTATCTTCAAAGATATAACAGCCAAAAGCTACTTCATTTTGGAAGCCCCATGGCTTTTATTACTGTACTATTCTATTTCATTTTTCTTATCTGTGATGTGTTTAGACTTGTGTTGCTATGCAACCAGCTAGAAGCCTCACTGTTTATAAGCAATTTCCTTAATTATAACAAAGAGAAAGCTAACCACTAATGATTTTTTCACAGTACTGAATTACCCTAGGTACAGAAATCAATGAATTTTTTTCAGTACTTAGAATAGCTATTCTTTTAAAAAATTACACTGACCACAAATACATGATTTTCCATCAGTATTTATATAATTATTCATGACTAATATGCTGCAACTTAAGAAAAATGCTAACCAGAAATATAAACTAAACAGATCCACTCAGCTTCATAAATTGCTTAGAATGACTTATGTCACTTCTCAAATAAAATTTATGAATTGAAAATACATGTTAATGTTTATGTTTATGCTGCCTTCCATCTTAGCTGGAGAATGTAAAATAGCAACTACTAAAATGCAGACCACAGATGATTTTTTACTTTTTCAGTTCTACAGAAGATTAACAGTACATAATCCCAAATACAGAAAGTCAACTGAAAAGACCAATTGCTTCCCCTAGCGGATGCCAACAATACTACAGTAAAATCCCTGATATTCTGTACAAGTGGGGAAGGCAGGGTGTCGGTAATGTAAAAATGCCAGTTACCTGAGAGCACAGGGTTGCCTGGATGCAGAGCGGGGGAGCGCGGCAGGCAGCAGCAGCCACACACAGAGTGGCAGTAGCGCAGTGTGGTGGGTGGTGGTGGCAGCAGCCACATGTGAGCTTCCCACCCCTCCATGTCTGGCCGGAAATTCCGGTTACTAGAAATGCCAGTTAGTAAAATCCCAGATAGCAGAGATTTTACTGTATGTAGTTTTAAACACTGAAGCTAATCCTAACTAGAACAAAACAGCAAAAAGGATCAGTTTCCAGCTGCACTTACATTGTAATACTCTTTTCCAGCAAAAATCAATAAAATTAAGCTTCAGAGTTCACTTTAGCAAATACATGAAAAGCACATTTTCTGACAAGGTGAGACTCTTACAAACGTACAATGTATATTTAGCAAATAAGAATGCCACCAAACTATTATATATATACATTTATATTAAACACACACACACATACATGCACACATCACTTCATTTAAACATCTCAAAACACTTTATGAAAGAGCATTATTTCACTGATGAGAAAACTGAGGCATGGATACTTAATGATTTGTCCAGGGTTACCCAGCAAACCAAGCTCCATCCTACCTACTTCAGCTGTACATCTCCACGTTATCAGTTGCATACACAATATGGTACTATAATGATGGGGGAAGTAACTGGATGCTATTTGTATGCCAAAAATCAAGGTAAAATCATCTCCTGGTTCCCTCTTAAGCACGTTAATCATTTGGCAAACACATTTTCATACATGAAATTTGGTTACATCATTCCCATCCTCATGAATAACATCATTAAGTGCTGGTATCAAGGGAAAAAAGGGCGGGGAGAGGAAGAGAATTTGTGAAAACCTGCTTCCATGAGACTGTTCGGGTAGCTTTCTGAAGAACCAGGTAAATAAATGCACACTGTTTGACCTATATAAGTAACTAGTCCAACTAACAAACAAGAATGGGTTTTTATTTTTTTATTTTTCAGTTTTTTAAAGCTTTGATAAGGAATTTGCAGTCAAGGGCCATGTAAATAAGCTGCCTACCCCACCTAAACACCTAACAGTCTCAGCCTTGGCTAAGTACCAACCTGAGACCACTTCCCTAGCTCAACTGTAATAGGTGGTAATATGGAAAGGAAGCAGAGCAGAGGCTCTGTTTATGAAAGTCATACTTAGCCTTGTGATAGGATTTGACTTTTTCCATACCATATCTTTGGACTGTAAGGTAATGGGAAACATGGAAGTGTTTTCTTCACTATGGTAAATATGTCAAGAAAAATAATTAGTGATCTCAATATAACTACTGTTCATATTCAGATGTTTCCTGGCCATTCTGTGGTATCACGTTGATTGCTCTTTTGTAATGGTTAAAGACATATCTAATGGTATAATTCCTAGCAGTTTTTGGAGAAAAAAGGTTTTGTCCCACACTGATAACATATTATCAACTTCTGGAAATGGCAGACTGAAAAATTATCTCAGAGTTCAGATTCCCAGCAGAAACCAGAAGGTCAGAAGTATAGTGCTGTATGTCAGTTCAAGTAAAGACTTTGCTTTACCACATCTTATTGAAAACAGAGAAAAAGAAACCAAACATTTTAAAAGTCAGTGAACTTTGAAAACAAATTCTGAAGAGCAAATTATGTCAATCTAAATGGAACAAGTAAGTACTTACTAATTGTCATTGATTCTGGAACAGTGACTGAAGGCAACATATTGCTTAAAGCATTCACTTGAACAGCAGGATTAACTTCCACTCTAGTTAAAAAGACAGAATGTCATCAATATTAAATATGTGAAACAAAATGCGGAATACAAAGACTAGGAAGGAAGATTTGCAGACCTCAAAACAATAATGGAAACATTCTATTCACAATGTAACTATGATTCATGTGTTGTAATTGTAAAGAGAGAAGAAAACATCGTTTAAGCCAAACAATTCTTTGGAAGGTTTTTTCCCTTTGTTTTGTTTTTCTAATATCTATAACTTCTACTGTATTTAGTCAACTAGAAGACAAAGTTTTTTGCCCCATTTAATATGGGGGGAGGGAAGAGGAAAGCCTCTCACCTTACAACTGAGAATATTGCAGGGGCAAGTAGTTGTTGTGTCTCTGGCTCTGGTCCCAACCCAGTTGGAGCAGGGGACAGAGCCACAACTGCTGCCACGAACCCCTGTCACTCCTCCCCCACTGCCCTCAGTCTCCCCTGCGTGCCGTTTCTGCCCACTCTCCCCTCTGCTGCACTCCTTACCTCTGGTCCATGCTGGAAGGTTCAATCCTCACTGTGAAACACAGAGCACATACTGCAGCATCGCCCTATACCAGCAGTCAGCTCTACACTACTGTTACAGGGCTGAGCTGGAGCCATAATCAGTGCCACAGGTTGCAGCAAGGAAAGAGCCTTCTGGTGCAGAGAAAAGGTGGAGGGGGGGGGGATATTGAGGGGCAGGTGAGGAGTAGAGACCTCAGCAGGGGGAGGACCCAAAGCTCCAGAGAACAGAAGTGGCGTGGAGGGGAGAAGTGGAGAGAAGGACACGGGAAGGGGGGTAAGTTGGATGGGAGGGCAGGCAGCAATGGGCAAGCTGCCTGCTTCACTCTGCCTGCCACACTGCCTCCACACTACCTGACCCCCACTACTCTTCCCCACTACTTTCTTCCTTACTGCTCCCCCTGCCACCTGCCCTACCAAGTGCCTCCCTACTGCA